TACGGCCGTCTGGAACGCTCTTCCTTCCAATGTTATAAAACCACGGGAGCTATGCAGTTTAAAATCTAGATTGAAATTGTATTCCTTTAGAACTGCTCTTATTGTGTTTAGTTTGTTGTCCTTCCCCCGCACCTCCGATTAGCACGGTTTGTTACATACGCTGCGAAAGAAGTTAAACATACATACACATACATCATATTAGGGTTGTTGTTAAAAGGAGCTCATATTTCGAGTGAAAGCACTTCCTGATTGGAGTCCTGAAGTAGATGCCATGTCGTACCCAATCAGATGTTGTGGGTTGACTCTCCAACACACGGATTGGTGTGCTGCTGAAGGAGTAATACATTTAGCTCCCGTTTGATTCACGTGACCCTTGTGCATTCATTGGCTGGCTGTGTCGGGTGGAGGAGGAGAGTTTACGACACGACACATTTTATACGATCTAAACCCAATAAGAAACCAATTATGAATAAACGCATCGCTCGTTCGCACGAGCGATGCGTTCGCACGAGCGATGACATTTGGTAACAAAAAGATGGACGTGTCGTCTTATACCTGCAGGCAAAGACATCGACGTTGTATCTTGGGAAACATGCGTTTATATTATTGAGATTACTTTCTGCTATAAATTTCCATATGATAAGCCACTTCCGTTCAACTATCATTTGTGGCCAGGTCGATTCTGAAAAATAAGCTAATAGCTCAGTGGGCTTTACCTGGTAATACAATGTTAAGTTTAGTTTTATTTTGATATATTTTTTAAAGTGGTTTGTTTACCTTTCCTATTATTTGCACTCCTATCGTGTTTGCGTTATTATCTGTTGTTGTTGTAACGTTCTGACCCGCTCCTACTAGACATCTGTGGCGAAAGAGCTTCATAGCTCATCAGATTCCTCCAGTACAAATAAATATTCCGATTCTAATTCTCACAATACGCATTGCCGACCTGCGTGAACAACAATGCATCTCGGCGATGTTGCCCCATCGCGTGCCAAAGGGGCCGTCCATAAATGACGTCACGCGATTTTGGACGATTTTTGACCCCCACCCCCCTTCGTCACACGGCGTCACAAAAAGTCAGACCCCCCTCAAATATGACGTCACAAAGCTCTGCCCCCCCCCCAAAAAAAAATAAACCATGCTTCAAATCGCATTATTTTTTTGTTATTGTAGTGTGTGTTTAATGTGGCGCTGCACTCTGATGTTGTAGGAGAAAACATTTATTAAAAAGTCTATTTAATTAAGTAGAACGTGTTGTCTATATTTATTTAAAGTTGCGCATTTTGATGTGACGTCACATTTCTCAACCCCCCCCCCACTCGTCACAAATGTCTGACCCCCCCCCTAGGTGCGTGACGTCATTTATGGACGGTCCCAAAGCGCGGGGGTTCTCGTCCTGGGCTCGGTGCCGCTCGAGAAAAGGGCCCTCGGGCAAGCGCACTCCAGACGTGACGGCAGCTCAGAGGTGTAATGTACCGTACTAGTCATGGAAGAACTCCACGACTCCAGGAAGTGGCCCCGAAGCTTGCCATAACGTAAGGGACCGTAAACAATTAGACCCAAGCCGAAACATCACATAGAAAAATTAAAAAAATATGTTTTATGATTGTCATCAGTATGACATAAGTATACCAAGTCTGCAGTCGATACCACATAGGGAAGTGGGTTAACATTGAGTTACAAGATTTGAGGATAGAACAACACAGACAACAACAACAGAGTGAGCTAAATAAAAGCGTGTAGTAATAATAATACGATCCAGCGTGGCCGCTTACGCACGCCTGCGCCGTGAGCTCCATGCAGGGCTGCAACCCTAGCGAGAGACTTCCGTTCGCACGAGGCCAACAACGTGGACGGGCAGCCGCAGTTGTTTCCTTGCACGCGATGCATCAATCAGAGCCTCACTCGGACCGAGGCATTGCTAACACAAGGAGAGTCTCGGTGAGTCTCGTGGTAATTGTGTCAGGAAGGTGCAGCTAGCTGGCTCGCCAGCGATGATTTCTGGACGACCAGATCATCCGGAACGCGCCCGATCTCGTCAGCTCTCGGAAGCTAAGCAGGTTTGTGCATGTATAGTGCTTAAAATTGGCGACCACGATACACAGAACGGGCGCTGTACACTTCTGCGGGCTTGTAGGTTGTAATTCTATCGCACCGTACGTAGCCAAAAGAAGTGTGGGGGAAGGACAACAAACTACAATGTCCACAGAGGGCCAAGCACCAAGAGGCATCGCTGCACCATGATATGCTTCAACGTCTATGTTCCGCGCCTTCATTCGCGTGGAATGGTCAAATAAACCCACGCCATGCAGGGTCGTGGGGCTGATCTCATCCAGTCATGAATAGATTTGAATTAAAAAAAAAGAGTTATGAAGCTGTAAGGCATGCACGTCCAAGAAGCTTCAGAGGCGCGGCACATCGTTGGCAAAATGTTAACTACCTCGCCTGGTATACAGGAGGTCGTGGGTTGGATCCCGCCGACCCTGACGCCTGCTGTCTATTTGTAGTTTGCACTTTCTCCCAGTGGTCGCGTGGATTTTTCTCCGAGTCCGGGTTTTCCCTCCACATTTTCGAAATATGAGTGGAGCGTACCTTGCTTGCTATAAATGTCCAGGTGATAAGCCACTTCGTTTAGCTATCATTTGTGGCCAGGTCGCTTCTGACACAAGGAACTCCGCAGTTCAGTGAGCCTTACCTGGTAAAAAAAAAAGTTTAGTTCATAGTTGTATAGTTTAAATCACAGACGAGCTGTAAGGCAGACAGAACCGGCACTACCAACAATTGCCAGAGTTATGTGGCCCTAACTTGGGACGTTTGGCTCACCCCATTAACGTGGGAGGACACCGGCTAACCCGGAGACAAACCACGCCTACGAGGGGACAACAACGCCATCCGCTTCATCTGCGCACGTCCGCTATGATAGGGTCCACGTTTTCTCTACCGCCTTCTCATGGCAAGCCAGGGTATGGCACCTCGAGTTTTGCAACAATTTTGCGATTCCACCAACTCCTCCGCCTCCACAGTGGTGGTTCTACAGGCGTGCCCAGCAGCCACCACCTTTACCAGGGCCTGTGCACCGGTTGTGACCGACGTCCCCATATCGAGCACTGGCCACAGAGTAAAACATCGTATTTTATTTACTTGTATTTTACAAAGTAAGGCCCACTTAGGTATATTTTTCAGAAGCGACTTGGCCACATTTGATAACTCAACGAAGTGGCTTATCACGTGGAGATTTCTAGAAGCCAAATACTCTAAACGCACGTTGATTGTAAACGTGGAGGGGGAAACCGTAAGACCCGGATAAAAATCCACGTGACCACCAGTACTTGAAATGCCTAAAGTACTGTATAAACGAGCCAAACCGCTGCACACCAAAATCGCCGTGCACATTAAGAGATGGACAACCTACTTGCTGTACTACACCATGTGGCGAAGTTTATTAGCTTTTAAAGGTGGGCGCCCAAAGCTCATGGTCTCGGTGTGATCCGCCAATCACGTTTATAAAGCGCACGCCGTGGAGCTCAACGCAGGCAGACTGCATGTACACTTCTGGAAAAATCGCCCGATGAAGCTGGTTGTTGTAATCACCAGCGAAACGTCACGGAACTCAGATTGTCGTGGGATTACCCTCCAACACACCGGTGTGCTGAAGTAGTCACCAATTGGCACGTTTTGTTTACGTGACAAACCCTGACTGATTGGCTGTGTCGGGTGGTGGTGGGTTAACGACACATTTATATTTACGCGATCTACCCCCCCCCCCCTCCTTTATTAATTATGAATGCATATACAATGAGTCTTGTAAGAGCTGTATCGCCATCTCCTGGCCACCTCATCGGTGGTCAAGAGATGGCGGTGCAGCAACAGAATTCCTGCGCGCTCGTGATTAAGCCTCGCTTGTAAAGAGACGCGCGTTATATAAAAACGTACGCACTTCACTGAATCGATCCGTACGTAGTATTAGCCTGTGAAATGTGTGGTGGCTTTTGCTCCAGGTTCTCTTGGTTTGCGCTCGGTACAAGAAGCCAGCCACTCACTCATGGAGCGGCCGAGTTCGTCCGAGTCAGTGGCGTAACCACATTATCAGCTCGGGGGGGGGGGGGGGTGCCCAAATATTGCTCTCGTTCAATACAAATGAAACGCGGAAGGGACACGACATTATTTTCATCGAAATTAATTTAAACCGTGTTTTTAATAAGTGTGTTGTTCTCATACACTGTGGTTGACAAGATATCTCGTGGTGTCTGTCGCGGGGGGGGGAGGGGGGCCCTACTCGTAGCTTGGGCCACCGTGGGACGTGAAGGCGACCCAAGGCGCCCCCTGGCCTGGACGCGAGCTACGGTAATGTCAGCGGAGCAGGACCCTCCAAAATAATAAAAAAGAGTGCCTCGAGACTCGTGAGCGACACTTCGTCGAGTTAAATAAAATCAATGACTCGCATAACGAATATCCATCAAGTTGTTCGGTAATGCTCTCCGCATATTTTCTACAAATATTAAACAAAAACACACCACTTCGTTTGTGTTGAGTCAAGTTATGGGCTGTTTGGACCCGGAATTGGCAGGAATTGAAATCGGGTGTCCAAGATAGTATGACGATGAGCGCCGTATCAGTCTCACCCCCCCGCCCACCCATCCCCTCTCCGCACTCCAACCATAACCCTCTCATCCCATCCCCTCTCCGCACTCCAACCATAACCCTCTCATCCCACCCCCTCTCCGCACTCCAACCATAACCCTCTCATCCCATCCCCTCTCCGCACTCCAACCATAACCCTCTCATCCCATCCCCTCTCCGCACCACCCTAACCCCAACCGTTTAGCCCCTCGCTTATTCTCTGTAAAATCCCTCTCCCCCCCCCCCGCCCCCCACGTATCTCCACCCCCCCTCCCACTACCACTTCCCCGAATTCAGCCACCCTCCCCCCTCCTCCCAAACCATCCCTCCACCCCCCCCCCCAGTTCCATCCCACATCGCCCCCGCCCCTACCAGAGCGCCGCGAAGGGGCACTCCGTTCCAATATAGAAGCGCTCTGGCGGCGTTCTTACCGCGCCCTTCTGCGACGCGTCCGAGCCGTGCAGAAGAACCCAGCTCGCTACCGACATCAATTAAATAAATAAATCTGCCGCGACTTCCAGGCCAGTCACCCCCCCCCCCCCACAATCATTAAAAAAAAATTACTCCCACCCCGCCAGCTACCTACCCGACTTAACTCGAGCGCAGGCGAATGTTTTAATTAAGCCATTCATTGCGAAGCCGTCCGTCTCGTCGAACGCGCGTGCGGCCAAAGTGAGAGCTCGCGGGTCTCGGTAGGAGGAGCGCATATTGACCGTGGCACTCACGCGCGCGCGAGTCCGCACCGAACGAGCGGCCACCTAAATCCGGGGCGTTGGGCTCGACGACTTCGCTTGCTGCGCCACGGCACCCCCCCCCCCACCACCTGCGATCTCCCCCGGGTCGGGTTTAAAGCTCCGCGGCGATGGTCAAATGGGCGTCTCTGGCCGTGCTTCAGTACGCGATGCTGTGCGCCCTGCTGCCGCAGTGTCCAGCGCAGAAAGCGGGGCTCAGGGTAAGTTCGCTGCGAGAGGATTCATGTTATTACTGTTGCTCACTATCAACGCGACGAGCGTGTCTCTCACCCCTCCACGCGCGTGACACCGTCGCTTGCGAGTTAGGTCTGAATCTCAGCCGGGTTTCCTCCCCGTCTACGATGGACTCAGCCTTTAAATGACTACAGTACCTGGTGCGGTGTCTAAAGTGTCGGTCCCCGGGGAGATAAAGGCGTCCAAGTGTTAATAGGCGCCCGGACAGCACTCGTCTATGTCAGGCTATGTGGGGGATCTTTGTTTTTGTCCGTGTCACTGTCGCAGTGTGTCTGTGTGTGCCTGTCTGATCCCGTAGTGTAGTGGTTAGCGCGCTGTGCTATACACCCGGCGACCCGAGTTTGTTTCCCGCTGACTGTCAACACACCAGTGACGATTAGTTGAACCGATCCTGGGTCTCCCCTAGGTCGACTCAGCCTCAAATGAGTACCTGGTCCGGTGTGTGTAAACATCGCCACTGGGGAGACAAAGGCGGTCGTGCGTGGTGCTGGCCACACACCCCCTCGTATGCCGTGCCGGCCTTCATAGGTGCTCGCTAACAGCACTTGCCCCAACAGTCTGTGAAGCCTTTACGGGGGGGTCTTTGTCTTTTGTGTCCGTACGCACCTCCGTGAGCGTCTATGCCCGACTGTGCGCGCGTGTGTGTGTGTACGTCAGGGTATCATCGGTGGCGCAGTGGTTCTTGCACTGAGCTAAGATTCCGGTTCTCTGAGTTGAACTCCCAGCCATGGATAACATCAGTGGCAATTTATATCTGAACCGGCCATGGGACTCTTCTAGGTCGACGTAGCCTTAAATACATACCCAGTGCGTTGTGTATATTTTATGAAGGCGGCCGGCCGTGCTGCTGGCCACCCACTCCCATTGTGTGCCGTGCCGGCCTTAATAGGTGCTCGCTAACAGCACATGCCCCAACCGCCTGCTGAAGGCTATATGTGGAACCTTTCATTGCGCACGTGTGTCTGTGTGTGATTTTATCATTGGTGGCAAAAAGTGGTTCTTGTGCCGCTTAATAATTCCGGCGAACTGGGTTCAATTCCTCGTCACGGACAAATAAGTGGCAAGCGGCATTCGAACCGACCACGGCATCCCCTAGGTCGACTCAGCCTTAAATGAGTACAACTGCAGCCGGGCATGATGATGGCCACACCACATCATACTGACTTCAATTAGAGGCATGCTCCTTAAGATGACTTGGGAGCAGTCAATGAGAGAGTCCAATAAAAGACTCTACGGGGATGAGTTTTTTTTGTTTTTGCACTGCAAATTCAGCTGTATGAGCTCGCATCCTGGCCACGGTACAACATCAATGAGAATTAGATCCTGAACTCGACGTAGGCCTTTCTCACTGGAGGTCGATTGAGCCTAAAATTACTATCTGTTTATAACGAACATAAGTAGCTCTGTGGAGACAAAGGCGGACGGGACGTTCGTGTGCATGGCCACCCCACCGCCGCTGTGTGCTTCGTTGACCTAAATAGGCATTCGCTAACAGCACTTACCCAGGAGTACTATGGGAGAACGTAGGGTTCGATTTGCGCGTAAATATCGTCCTAGACATTGACGCAGAGTACATCCACGCTAGTGGAATTTTGGATCGAAATCAATTGACATGCCAATTAGGTGTCCACATATAACGAATTGGGCCGCGACAGAGCGCTAATTGCCTTGGCCGATTCCGCAACGGCACAATTTGGCATTCGTCGGGGTTCGGATCATCGCAGAGTGCGTTTGTCGGTGAATATCAAAAACTGGCGTGTCCGCGGTCATTCGCACGGTCACGTCTCCATTGTGTGCGTGAGTGATGTACACGAATGTGTCCCGCGGAATATGGATTCGATGTGCTTGAACGCGAGCGCACGATTGTGGAGATCTGTCCAGCCGCGTAATTTCAGGGTCATTACCCGTATAATAATAAATACATATTTCCCGCACCTCCGATTAGCACGGCTGGCTACGTACGGTGCGAAAGAAGCTCAACATACGTGTATATAAACGACAGCACACCGCCATTTCGGCACTGAGTGGCGGTGATGTCACCACGGCGATTGTGCCAGGCTCGGTGCACTTCGATGCCCCGTGAAGTGTGGAAGGTTGGCAGGCAGGAGGTCATGGGACAGACCCAGTTGCCATGGGTTAACTGACGGAGATGACTGGTAGATGCGCCAACTGTGCTCCCCACTGTGGCACGCACATGTAATAATCTATGTTTATTAAATAGGAATTTCCGGCCCTTTGTCAAACCACTTCTGGGTAGAGGGCCTCCACTCCCCACGCCGGGTTTGGTCATGATAATCTGTCTAACCATACTTCACCACGGTAGTTTGGGCAGGTTGGTGAATGAGGCACCCAGGATATTACTCGCCACTGATGTTAGCCCTAACTGGAAATCAAACTCAGATGGCCAAAGCTCCCCTTTTCGAGAGAGACCATAAAACTTAGCATCACTTGCTCGCTCACTCACTCGCTCACCCACAATCGGCTACGTGAATGTCTTCGATGTCATCTTAGCATTTGATAAACAAATGATAAACACGGATAGATGCTTAGTCAACAATGCTGCTGTGATCAGCAACTTCATACGCTGCCCACAAAACGTCACGTTCGCTCCACGTGGTACGACTGTGTTCTGAAGCCATTCACTCGGCTCCATCTCTGCGTGATCATCTCGTCTTGCTATGAAGCAGCTGTATTTGCTTGCCTCTTTTACAAGTGTGCAAAGCCACCGCACTCCGCGTGATATTCAACAAATAGAGCATCGTCTATTTGATATCACATATGCATTTAGTGACACGTGCGTGCGTGTTTGGATGTATGGGGAGCGTTAGTGTAGTGGTTAGCGCACTGCACTAAAAACCTACCCACCCGAGTTAGATTTCCGATCACGGCCAACATCGGTGGTGAATATATATGTACCGGTTTTGGGTTTCTTCTAGGTCGACTCAACCTCAAATGAGTACCTGGTAAGGTGTGTAAACACTATCACTGGGGAGACAAAGACGACCGGCGGCTAGGCGTGGTGCTGGCCACCCACACCTCCTCACGTGCAGTGTTGACCTTCATCGAAGCTACTTGCTAACTCCACTTGCTTCCAACAGTCTGTTAATTTGTGGGGAGGTTCCAAAATTGGTTCGCATATCACTCGCCACTGATGTTAGCCATAGTCGGGAATCAAATGTAGGTAGCTGGATTCATAACACAATGCATGACCATTGCTCTACGCTGTGTTGGTTTATCGTGTGGTTTATGACAGGGGTTGCACGCAAAATTAAATGATAATTTTCCAGTCTCTGAAACTAAACAGACTTGAAGATCGTCATTCATTTCTTAAGTAGGTTTCAACGATCACCACTGTGATTCGTCATTCGTGTTTTTGGGCTAAATAATGTATAACACACGAATTATACAGGAAAGTGGGCACAAGACAGAGGAAAGTGGACACAAATGTTGACATGTGCAGTGGACACCTCCAGCCTATCTGCCCATGGATCGTGATGATGATGATGATGAGACGGGTTTAGTCCACGGTGACGACACAACAAGAGGGAAAGAAGGGAATACACTAATTTTTGAAAGTCTGACAGCCAAGTCAATTTAATTTTTGCTTAAACACGTGGCGCTTTCTCTGGAGAGAGAAAACAAATATCTGCCACTCAAAGCGCCATCACGTTCTCCCGGTCTCCTCTCTACAGGTAGCGTGCATCGACTGCTGCCAAATGCTCCACGCGTGCGTCATTCTCGATGTGCTCACTCGCCCCACCGCGTGGATGTACGGCGTAGCGTGCGTGTGTGTGATGCGCGCCAGCCAAGCCTGGGTCAGCCTCTAGCAGTGTTCTTCATTGCGAGGGCCCACGGGTCACCTGCCGCCCCTGGTGGCCTTTAGTGCGGCCCCTGACGCGCGTTCCCCCCGACAGCACACACACAGCGAAAGCAACCCTCTGCAGGCGGTGTGGCGGCCCTCGCACTGACGATGTCTCATCGGCGAAAGTGGCACCCGCTCTGAAAAATGAGTGAAGGACACGGGCCGAACGTGGACCCGCTCGCTTCCCCCAGTGCTCGTGGAAAAGCGACAACAGAACCGCTCGTTGTGTGCGTATGTTGAACTTCTTTCGCACCATACTATCTAACCGTGCTAATCGGAGCTGCGGGGGGAAGGACACATTAAACTAAACACAAGAAAGCAGTTCCAGAGAAGCGAGTTCGCAATTACGCGCACCAGCTCTGTGACAGTGTGCCTGGCTCCTCGTGTCAGTCGGGGTGATGTTGCAGGTGGGGTCATGGGCCAATGTGCCCTCTCCCACAACGAACTACCAACAAGCGCATAAACAAATATCTCGTTCATCTACACAACTCACAACGCACAACACCAACACCACCACCACGACGACCCCCGCAGCTACACCCCGCAACGAATTACCACCAACTACAACATCGCTAACCATCACCACCACCAGCCTCGAACATCCAACTCACACCACCTACCACGAAATCAACAATTAACCACCTTCTACCAACCAACAGCATCGCCAATCACAACCCTACTCCCAACAATAAAGATCCCTCGTGTAGCCTTGTTTTAGAGACCGTAGGGGCAAGTGCTTTCAGCGAGCATCTATGGAAGCAGTCACGACACGCGATGGGGGTGGGTGGCCAGCACCACGCCCGGCCGCCTTTGACTCCCTAGTGGCGATGTGTACACATTTCACCCAGGTTACTCGACCTAGGGGATATGCCGGGTTCGTAGCGCAGTGCGCTAACCACGACACCACCGCTCCCCCACCACCCCACCGTGCCACCCACACCCCCTGCTCGGTGCTCAGAGGGCGCACACGGTGCTCATTCAGCGCAGGGACAGAAACCCGAGCCCTCCCTCCCTCCCTCCTCCTCCTGCTGCTGCTCCTCTCTCACTCGTGCCGTTTGTGCCACAAATGCAGCAGCGAGGGAGGCAGCCAGACACGGGGGCACGTTTCTCACAGTGTTCTGTGTATGTGTGTGTACCTACGAATGCGTGTGTACGTAAGGGAGCGGTGGCACAGCGGTTAGCGCGCTGCGCTAAGAACCCGGCGACCAGAGTTCGATTCCCGCTCATGGCAACACATCAGTAACGATTATCTGAACCGGTCCTGGGCCTCCCATAGATCGACTCAGCCTGAAATGAGTACCTGGTGCGGTGTGTAGTAAACATCGCCACTAGGGAGACAAAGGTGGCCGGGCGTGGTGCTGGCCACCCACCTCTTGTGCCGTGCTAAACATTGTCAGCACTACTTGCTAACGGCACCTGCTCCCAACAGTTTGTTAGGCCCATACAGGGGGGATTTTTGCATTTGGACCTATGCAACACAGCGACCCGAGTTCTATACTTGCTCACAGCCAACATCAGTGATGAATGTCTAAATCCGTCCTGGACCTCCCCTATGTCCATTCAGATGCAAACGAGTACCTTTTGCTTCATTACCACTGGGGAGACAAAGGCGGGCGGGCATGGGGTGCTGCATTTCCTCAGTCTGTGAAGGCTGTACAGGGGGATCTTTGTCTTGTACCTATATGTATAGGGGGGCGCACTGTGTCCCACGTATGCTACCAAACCACAAACCTGAGTTGTATTCCTGGCAATGGACTAAAGAGTGGCGAATTATATCTGAACCTACTGAGCCTCGCCTAAGAACGTCGTGGGGTGTGTAAACATCAGCACTAGGGAGACAAAGGCAGCCGAGTGTGGTTACAGCCACACCACCCCCTCGTGCACCATTCCTGCTCGCTAAAGGCACTTGCCCCCAACAGTTTATAAGCTACACGGGGAATATTTGCCTTGTGTACGTACACAGGGAGCGGTGACATAGTGGTTTTCGCACTGCGCTTTGTTCTTAGCCGCCTGGGTTTGGTTTGATTCCTGGCCATGAATAACCCACCGCAGTGGCTAATGGAACGAGACATACGATTTCAGGCTAAACCTACTTAAGGGAGGCCCAGAACAGTTTATAAACCTGGCGCGGACTTGCATCCATAATCAGGAATTAAATCTAGGTCACTGATATGGTAGTGCAGTGCACTCACCTCTGCACCACGACTCACCGCACACACACATACATTAACATTAGTCCAATGCAACGGTTACATCATGAAAAACGAAAAAAAGACCATGAATTCCTTGCAGCTTCTCAGGAGGAGTGGCGTGGCTTGAGCCAACAGCTGACACATTATAGGTTAAGTAGCTTAGGGTTCCAATTCGTCTATTAAGGCACCCCGGTGCGTCACCTGCACCACCACTGTGCGTTCAATAGCAATTAATTTGGATGGCAAGCAATTGTTATTTTATTTTTTAATAAGATGAAATGAGTTTGTGCACTTGAGTGGTTTAATGATAGCGATCCACTCCGGTGTGCCCGATGATGAAATCACGATGAATGCGTCTGATCTCGTGACATCTTTACTTGCAAGTAAAGATTGTGAGTGATAATAATAAAATCAAACTTCCTTCGCAGTTATATGGCACTTAAATGCCTCGTCTACTCAAAGCACCTTACATCACAGCTGGACCCAAACTTTAAACGGCATTGCTCAAACATCCCAATTGCAGGAGCCTCGTAAAGTATTGGAATAATCAGCAAGAATTTCCTGGGTAAATAATTGTCAATGTTATTAGATCAAGCATTAGATCTCTTAAATCGAAGTTTTTTTAATATATATCTGTAAAAAAGAAACAAACCACGTAGTTCTGTGTAACGAAACGATGGGATATCACCTGTAAACATATCTTGTCTTTTACAAATGCTGTTTATTTGGGTTGAAAAAAAGTAATTCGCACAAATAATTATACAGTCTAAAAAAAAACCATTCCTCCTTTAAAAAATGTATCTTGCTCAAGACCAGGATAAATATTTAAATTGCCTTTCTTTTAAAATAAACGCATTGCGTACGCGGGGAACGAGAAAGACGTAACAAAAAAAACTTACATTCTAACAGCGAGGCAAGGTATTTTTCATGTTTCCCCTCCCCCCGGCTCGCCCCCCCCCTCCCCTTTCTTCCGAGGAAGCCTGTTGTACGTAAAACAACGCGGCGATCCGTTGCACGTAAACAACGCGGCGATCCGTTGCACGTAAACAACGCGGCGATCCGTTGCACGTAAACAACGCGGCGATCTGTTGCACGTAAACAGCGCGGCGATCTGCAGCTAACTTGAACGGAGGTGCACAGTCAGCGCGTGCCTGCCAAGGTTGTTACGAGCACCTGATGGATGAGTTCGTCTCAGGTGCTAGAGGCAGGTGTAAAGTAACAGGGATTCATTAACATTTTGACAATGACCCATTTTTAATCGGAATCCACCCCCCCCCCCCCCGCCATAAAAGGTGGCGACAGCTCCAGGTTGCTAGCAACCGATGCCACCAAATAGCCACCCAAATGGAGATGCCGCCCCAGTCGTTTTGTCATCAACCGACATAGTCAAACCATGGCACCTGGGTGCGTCACGTGACCACCTTGCCAACGGGCGTTCTACACTTCACGTGGCCTTAAAGTGCACATAGCCTGGCACACGTGCCGTGGAGTTGATGTTGCTGCAGCATCGTCAGCATCGTCAGCTCGTATGCTGGCGCTGGATGGATTGATAGATTGCAGTACCATGAGAGATGACAACAGCTTGGGGAGAGCTTCATCCAGTCGTGGATAGAATCATGACCGATGATGACGACGTTACAATCTAACAAAATAATTGCCGGCATCAATAGAGTTTTATGTATTTTTTTTTTCCTGAGACCACTGCAGAGCAATAGCAGCATTTACTATCAGATACAATGATGATGGAAATAATGAGAAGCAGAATGTCCTTCATCCACCAAAACCTCAGCCTTAAGACTCATTTTCAAGAGGGTCCTGCATTAAGATATTCGGCCAATTTCTCTTTTTTTGCTTTTGCCAATTCCAATCCATTCTCTAAATAAGGAGTGTTTGGCAACATGACGGAAGTTTTTTTTAACGATGAAAATATGTTACGATGGCATCGATAAGAGCGAATATTTAAATTAAGCCGTTAACACGAACCGCCTAACACCAAGCCACGCGTCAGCTACTGTGCCAACGTCGCCATATCGACACGGTGGCTGCCGTTCATTTTCAAAGTACATACGAAAAAGCCTGAATAACAATTAAAGATGATGATGAAAATGTTATTTGATGATGATAATAATAATAGTGATGATGATGACAACAAATAGGAATGGAAATTGATCTCATGATGGCATGATTATGACAATAATGATGATTATCGCACCTTCGATTAGCTCGCACCTCCGATTAGCACGGTTTGATTACGTACGGTGTGAAAGAAGTTCAACGTACATCCATACATTATGCTGACAATGATGATGACGATGATGATTCACAATGACATTGACGATGGCAATGTTGACAATGATGATGACGATGATGACATTTTCTTTGGTTCTTTCGGTAAAGTCACGTAGAATGAGAATAAAACAATAAATTGATAAAATAAAATAACACAATAATATTCTCACGACGTTTCGGCCACAACACAACGGCCTTCATCAGGTGAAGGGGCGAGACTCCAGCGCTGTCCTACCAGACAGTCTCGCCCCTTCACCTGATGAAGGCCGCTTGTGTTGTGGCCGAAACGTCGTGAGAATATTATTGTGTTATTTTATTTTATCAATTTATTATTTTATTCTCATTCTACGTGACTTTACCGAAAGAACCAAAGAAGATGAATCATTGCAGTCACGAAAGCTTTAAATCGATGATGACATTGATGACGAAGATAATAATGCTGACAATATTGAACTTCTTTCGCACCGTACATAGCCAACCGTGCCAATCGGAGGAGCGGGGAAAGGACAACAAACTTAACACAAAAGGGTGATGATGATGATGATTCAGAATGTCACTGACGACGATGATGACATCAATGTTGACAACAACAATTGCGATCGCTGAAGATTAACGACGACGATGCTAACGATGAACCGTGGATGACATTCCCCGGCCGCTGTCGCCCACCGCTCAGTTCCTGATCGGGGACGGCGAGCGGGAGGCCGAGTGCCGCCTCGAGTGCACGGCGCAGGCGTTGGCTCGCCGCGCCCTCTGCGGCTCCGACGGACGCACCTACGACAGCCGCTGCGACTTCCAGCGCGCCAAGTGCCGCGAGGGGACACTCGAGGTGGCGCACCGGGGCCGGTGCAAAGGTGCGCTACCCCCCCACTCCCTTCCCTTTCCTCCCTTCCCTGTCCCCACCTCCACCCCCCCCCCCCCTTGCCCCACCCCACCCACCGTGCGCTGTGTGTGTGTGTGTCTTCGTCTTTGGGATAGATGTGGCCGAGCGGTTATCGCTCGTTCGCCGAGTGTTTGCGAAGGTTCGTGGTTTGGGCCTAGCGACCGCGCTGGTAAATGCTGCGGTGTGTATTCAAACTAACTTAAGCATTTATTTCATTTTAGCAGGTAAGGCCACTGAGCTAGATCGGTCTTTTTCAGAAGCGACCTGGGCACAAATGATAGCTCAACGAAGTTGCTTATAATGTGGAAGTTGCTTATAACGTGGAAAATATATAGCAGCCGAATACTCGAAATACATGTTTGTAAATGTGTAGGGAAAAAACCGGAGGAGGACCCGGATAAAAATCCACGCGATCACCGGGAGAACCCATGACCTCTTTGACATAGGCGTCAAGGTCGGGATTGAACCCGTGACCTCCTTGTAGACGAGGCGAGGTCGTTAACATCTCGCCACCGTGAATACTGCTACTACTACGACCACGCGCCGTCTGCTTCACAGGGGACGATTGTCACAGACGAAAAGTTTTGACCAAGTTGAGAAAATAACACCGCAAGTTGTTGCTCCATTGGGAAAACACCGGGCGAAATCGACCCGAACTGCGAAGCTACTCCAGGCCGTGTCTGCGAAACGCAGTGCCTTCGCGATAGCCTCCTATCACTCGAATGCCACGGATACCAAATACACTCGTGCTTTCATTCCATTCAATATTATTATCGTAAGCACTCATTGTGTGGAGTATTACGGGTAACAACATATAGACACAGACCTCTGACCTCTGATCTGTGTCTCTGTATACAAAATATATATTTTTACATAACCCTGACTCTGCTGCTGGATAATAATGTTGATCTGCAAATCCAACAGGCTGATGAACTTAAACACATTTTATTTGTCAGCGTATACATTGTTACGTATTCATAAAATTACTATGGCCTTTTATTACAAATACAAAATTATCTGTTTAGAGACACTCCCACTCAAGTAATGGCTCGGCATAAAATAAGAGCTACAGTATATAGCTCAGTGGGCCTTAAATGGTAAAATTCAAATAATTTGGTTTTAAATAACATTTGAATTCCAAGCTTATAAACGTCATCCTCCAATCTCAATGCACTCATTAAATATTGTAACTCTCTCCGCTGTAAAATGAAATTAAGAATGGAGCCATCGCTGTCACGTAAGTCGCTCACCTGTTGAGAAATCAGAGGGGCGTGAGAAATCAGTGGGGTATTAATAGATGGATCACAGGTATATACTGTATGTATGTTTAACTTATTTCGTGCTGTACGTAGCCAACCGTGATAATCGGAGGTGCAGGGAATCCACACGGCCACGGGGAGAACATGCAAACTCCAAATATACAAGCATCAGGGTCGGGTTCGAACCCAAGGCCTCCTGTATACCAAGCGAGGTAGTTAACATCTGGCCACAGTTGTAATATTACAATTTGTGCCATCAGCGTTGCGTCACAAGACAAACACATTTCCGCCCGAGACTCTCACAGCGAGCAGGCCACTGCCATGTGTTAGTCAGAGAGCCATCGTGGAAAATGATGTATCAGAACTACCTCTTAAGTCCGCACCTCCAGTTAGCACTGTTGGCTATGTACATTGCGAAAGAAGTTCAACATACACACAATGGTCCTCTTTATCCACAAGAGGAGCCAACACTTTATATTGCCCTGCAAATAGTGTTTGTCACATGTCAATCAAAGCGTAATTTTTATTTATTTTCAGAGCTAAAATTCAGTGAGATTAAGTGACAACGCCAATTTCATATTACGAGTTTAATCCATATATATGTCATTATGTATGTTGAACTTCTCTCGCACCGTACGTAGCGAACCGTGCTAATCGGAGGTGCGGGAGAAGTAAAACAAACTAAACACAAAAAAACATTTATAAAGAAATTAGTTTTCAATCCATTTTTAAAAGTGAATAGCTCAAGTTGCTTCTAATATCGGAAGGAAGAGCATTCCAGACGGCTGCAGACATGCGTCTGCAAGTGCGCGATGCAGTGACCGTCTTTGTTCAATGGCCAACCGAAAGTAACTCGTCTGAGACCATCGGCTGGGTACAATTGAGAAACCAGTTGAATCATAGGCGACTGGAGCCAGGACTTGAACACATGTTTTAATGGGTCGCTGGCTCTGTGATCTGACCCCTGTGCCAGCTGTGCACCTCCTCGCTGTGACTCCTGCGCCACCGGGAGACTCACTGGCAGGTGCCAGTCATAAACAGCTGCCGTACATCCACGTGCAGCAGCCTGGGTGGCAGAGTGAGTAGAGTGGGCGTATAGCGATGCATTCTAACGCTCAAAATATACGAAATGATTCGTGCATGTGAGATGAGGGTCGATTTCTCTACCAAAGGCACAAAGTGCAAGCAAGCGATGCAATAAACTTTACACTTAAGATAATCATTTGTGGCGAGGTCGCTTCGGATATAAGAGATATATAGCTCAGTGGGCCTTACCTGGTAATTTTTTTTTTAAATAGTTGTGTTTAGTTTCAGGGACAGCCTTAATATTTCTCATTGCATCACTAGTGTTCGTCTGCCACTGACACGCACGCGAAACATTCCACCAACTGTGGTGATGGCCAGGTGCCATCGATGGGCAGAGCGCTGAGCTGGCACCGCCGAGATTCTGGGTTGGAATCCATGCGTGTTGACTGTGGTTGAACCAATCGAGTTTTCAAGTGTAGTGAAGTTACCAATGACGTCACGTGACAAAATGTTACCCTCGGTGGCGGAGTGGGTGGTGAAGTGCTGACCCCTCCTACTGTGTAGAGCAGGGGTCGCGAATCTCAGAGGTAGCTCTGTGATATCCGCTTCCATGGACTCTTGTGCGTTGCAAGAGAGATCTGAAAGGAAACTTCGTCGTGTGACTTGTCACCGACAGCACGACTGGAATAGCATTAGGATAAAATAAATAAAAAAAACTCGCATCAAATGCACATTTTACGAATTGAGCCTCGCGATTCTTAGCAGAATTCGACAGTTATAACGATGATGACGACGACGGGGGTGAGGGTGGGCTGGTTAGCGCTCCCTAATTGCCCCGCCACTAACCGCGTGTGTCTGCGGCGTGGCTGACAAGACCGCGGTGGGCAGTGACACAACTCCGCTGATGCAGAAACTCAAGCCGTGGTCCCTAGCAATGTGTGGGCAGCTTAGCTTAAAGCGGCCGCCCACGCATTTTCAGCCGCAGTAATTATGCTTTCGTTGGCGCGAAAAGCACGCTGCATTAACACGCGATACATTTGTAAACAAATTAAGGATGGGAAAAAAAAAAAATCACGTTATTTTCTCTCTGTAAAAATAAAAAAAAAAATCACGCTTGTGAAAATCGCAACCCGCTGAAGGGTTTGGTTGCAATGCTGGCAAGAGAAGGAGGTTTGTTGCCAGATGTCTTTGCAAAATGAAAATGTAATTTAAGTTTTTTAAGTTCGAATTATTTTGCTTTGGCCAAACTTACGTGAAGAAAACTAACAAACAAACCCACTGGAACCAATATGGGAATCATATTCTTGATTTAACACGTAGGCTTTCGCGACCAATATTATTCATAATAAAGGTTTTTGGGTTAGATCGCGTTTATTTATAAATGTGTCGTAACCCTCCACCACCCGACACGGCCAATCAGCAAAAAAAGTGTCACGTTAACAAAAGACAAATAATTCACTACTTTAGCCCACCGGTGTGTTGAAGAATGAATCCACATTTACAGTTTGAGTACGACGTTTCGCTGGTAAATACATCCAGCATCATCGGGCGAATTGCCCGATGATGCTGGATGAATTGCCCGATGATGCTGGATGTATTTACCAGCGAAACGTCGTACTCAAACTGTAAATGTGGATTCACTCTTCAACACACCGGTGGGCTAAAGTAGTGAATTATTTGTCTTTTGTCAACGTGACACTTTTTTTGCTGATTGGCCGTGTCGGGTGGTGGAGGGTTACGACACATTTATAAATAAACGCGATCTAACCCAAAAACCTTTATTATGAACATATTCTTGATGTTGAGATTATTTTCTGCAGGTATATTATAAGAAATTGCTGCTGCTTTGTAGGAATATGCATCAAGACTTTGGTGTACAGATCATTGACTAAAACCTGGCATCAATCTTCTCAAAGGCTGAAAACATCACCGTCATCACCGAATCATCATAACCATCACCGGGTCCGATTCAGCCTCATTATCACAAAGACGCGTTACGGACAATTCACGCACGACTCATATTATTATTGTCATCATCATCATCACCATCGCTATCACAAGCAATGACAGCCGCGCCAAGTGACATTTATGGACTGTCGGGTGAGAGAGGAGCGAGAGAGAGAACGAGAACGAGAGAAAGAAAATGCAAGCGGCTCGGGCGACGGACCAGTCGACAAGAGTGACGAACCCGCGGGACGCGCTCAAACGGCCGGCCCAGCAACCCAGAGGCTCGGCCACGCCGTGAGGGCCATTGCGACGAGACGCGCCTCGGGCCTTTTCGCGAAACCGTGTCCTCGCGTCTCACCTCGCTCACAAAGGCACGAGCACAGCGGATTTTTTATTCCCCGAGTGCACAACGCGGGCAGTGTTTTTAGAATTCTTTTTTCGCGAGGCAGGCTCGCGAGGTCGCGAGAAGCGTCTCAAATGCCCCCTTTTCCTTTTTTTTTTACTTTTTACGGAGACCTAATATTTTTTTTTTGGCTTCAGCCAGCCGTACCTGTGTCATGTCTAATATTCCCCCAATTCCTGCACGGTGCCAGTTACTTCATTTTTATGCCGCGCACTGGGACAAGCGCATAGGGAATGATTTGCAAGGTAATAAATGTGAAAAGGCGTTAAAAAAAATGCTCCCCCCAATGGCTTCGTGCCCACTTCGCTGAAGTCGCCCGCCCCCCTCCCCCCTCTCCATTTCTCTCCATCCTCGCCCGCGCGCCGCTCAAGAACGGCTCGACTTTTCGGCATCACGGCGCGAAATTTTGCATTAGGGGCCAGCCAGGCTCCCAGAACAGTAGGTACGTTATTGAGGTATGAAATTGGCAGCGCGGGCTGATTGACCGCGCGGCTTGAGCCAGACAGCGCGTTGGCGCGGAGAGACAAAAACAGCTCTCGGTACGCAAGAGCCGCCGTGAAAAAATGCGCTGTGTTTAGCCCAATACAACGGGGCGCACGTGGCATGTGCTGCAAAATGCGATTGTACACGCGGCCCTCTGTTGGGGACGAAGTCATTAAAGCGATTTCTGAGGGCTCGCGACAACAACGAAAAGAGAGAGAAGCGTTACCCAAAATCCACGCGTCGTCAAAATTCGCAGAGCGAGCCCAATTCGGCACGTGGGGATTGTGGCAAGCGACAAAATACGCGTGTGCTCCACAGTCCCACCGTTGAAACCCGCTGACAGCTCGCCACCGAATACCTTGGACCCTATGTTTCGGTTTTTTTTCTCTCCTCCTCCTCCTATTGGTTCTCGGACATCTGTATATTGCAACAAAACGCGTTTCTAACGCCAAGGATAATTTGCCTGGCTTAATGCGTCATATACGTAGTTGGCTGTCAGTAACTCGTTCCAGTCTTCGTACGCACGTGGGAAGATGAATGGGGAACCGTGAATCCAATTTGCGCGCAAACAGTGTAGCTACATAACCATCGATGGGCTTTCCAAATTCGTCAATGTGGCTATTAAGCAGTTTCCTGATTTGATGTTAATTAAGACAAAGATCCGCCTGTGTAGTCTTAACTTTAGCAAGAAGCACCTATGAAGGCCGGCATGGCACAGAAGGGCGTGGGTTGCCAGCAATCACGCCCTTCCGACCGCCTTTGTCTCCCGAGTGACGATGTTTACACATCGCACCGGGTACTCGTATGAGGCTGAGTTGACCAAGGCGAAGCCCAGGATCGGTTCGGATAATCGTCACCGATGTTGGTCGTGAGCGGGAATTGAACTCGGGTCACCAGGTTCGTAGCACAGCGCGCTAACTGCTATGCCACCACTCTCCCCCCCCCCCCACGCCGCCACACACATGCACAAACTCTATTTTTAAAAAATCTGTTTAAATATTCAAATGAGAAAAATTACCCAAACTCAAGGTGTGTTGTAAGAAAACAAAATAAAACGTTTGCAAGACACGCTTTCAAGATCAATATTTTAAACCGAAAGGCGGTCAGCATGGCAGACAGGCGGCTTTCATGCTCTTGGCACTCGCCTGTTTGTGCCGGCCGACAGAATTTCAAAAGCATTACGTCACGCTCGATGAGTCCAGGCCCAAAGGGCCCTAAACGCTGCTCTGCGAAGCGCAAATTGCGCCAAAGTTTCTCGAATGCCCTTGTGATATTCTGACCAGAGCGGCCAGCTAACAAAGGCGTCCGCGCGAGACGTTCCGGCCACGTGCTCCGCTCTTTTGCGCCCTCGTCACCCTCGCCGCCGTTTGCAAACGCGGCGGGGAACAGAGGGGGGACGTGGAGGGGGGGGGGCGGCGATTGAGGTCAGATGAAGGGGGGGGGGGGTGTGGCCGTCGCCGCGACTAACGGGGGTGCGTGCCCCGCTCGTGGGGGGGGGGGGGGGGGCCTTTGTGCACAGAAGTTTCACGATGCCAGGTGGAGCGGACGCACAACCAGCAGCAGGCGCGCAAGCCGCAGGAGGGCGTCTTCGTGCCCGAGTGCAACGAGGACGGCACCTACGCACAGGTGCGTGGGCCGGCCACTCACACCTCCCACCTGCACCATCCGCTGATCGTCAACCTCCTCCTCCTCCTGCTTCGTCTTCATCGCATCGCTCTGGGGTCGGCCGTTCCGAGCCCCCGCCACCCACCCACCCGCCCACAAGCAACATCCCACCCACACCCCACACACCTTCCTAACTAAACACATTTTTTTTGTAACCAGGTAAGACCCACTGAGCACTTTTTTAGTAATCGACCTGGCCACAACTTATATCTCGACATAGTGGCTTATCAACGTGGAAATGTTTAGCAGCCATATACTCTTCCATTTCTGTCATCCCATTTCTTAAAACATCTAGATTGAACACTCATTTGCTTACATCTGTTTTGTTGTCCTTCCCCCCGTACCCATGATTCGCACGGTTGGCTACCTACGGCGCGAAAGAAGTTCAACATACACACATCCCAGCAAGGTTCACGTCACCTGTATAAGATATCCTTCCATCGCATCTTTGGTCTCCTCCTCTTCCTCGCGTGCCTAGAATCTCTGCTTTCAAAACTCCGCTCGTAATGTCCCCCTCCTCACTGCGCACCACACGGACCAAGGCCGCCTCGGTCTCGCTTCCCTCGCTTTGTCGACAGCTCTTCGTATCCCCGGTTGGTTTGTGCATACGTAAGTGTGTTGAACTTCTTTCGCACCACACGTGGCCAACCGCGCTATATCGGAGGTGCGGTTTCTGATGTCCTCGCTCTCTCTTCGAGTCTCGAGCTGCTGTTTCGGCAAATCCATCGCAGTGCGTGCTCTTCTGATTTCTTCACGGACTTTATCCCCCGTCCCCCGTCCTCCTTATCGTCCACCTCTGCCGCTCCTGTCTCACGCCGCCGGTCTCATCGCGGCTTCGTACATCTCAGCTTCCTTGCCCTGTCGTTATCGCGCGCAATTCCAATCCGTTCCTTCCACCGCTTCACACCACGTCGTTCATGAACTCTTTCCCACGTAGCCTCGTCTCCTTCCGTAGCCTCTCCTTCATTTGTTTCGTTGTTTTTTGTTGTTGTTCCCATCACGTGCACTCGCGAGAGCCCTCGGCGATTCGGAGCGCGCCGACTGACGGGGGATTGATTTTCTCTGCAGAATTTGGCTGTGGCTCTGAAGTTTTCCGTAAAAAATTTACGAGGAAGCAGCAGCAGCAGCAACAGCAGCGGTCTGGGGGATTTCTGGGCACTCGTCCACCACACACACACACACATTTAAAATTGTAGATTAATTTGCACCGTGTATTGTTGCTGCTCTATTAACTCTTGTTAAAAGATTAGTGAGTTAAGTATACATTTGTTAAAGCATGCATGTGCATTGCCTGTAAGTTTTCCTCTCGCCGCGGGGCTTCCTGCTGCAGTGGCAGAAACTAAACGGGGCACTATAACCAGCTGTTATAGTATTTCATATGGATGTAACAATTCACTCCTTCCATGTTTCGTTGAAGTGTTATTTTTTTTTTGGGGGGGGGGGGGTCAACATTCCATTGTAATAATAATAGTAACAACAATGAGAACCGTGTTTGATATTTATCCTAGAAAGCCTTACTCTACTGAAGACTATGAAAAAACAAGAATAGGCTTTACAAACAGACACCTCTATCACAAGGCATCATCAAGTCTGCGTGTGGTAAAACATGCGAACAAGCATGCTCTGATAATAATATATGCATTGTCATCATTGGACCTCCTTTGCCAGTACCAAAATGTAATAATAGGGTTTTTCCCCTTTTTTTCTGGCAACAAAACTGAAACCTTTTTTTACGAGGATTCATGTCTGCATTAACCACAATACTTGCAGTCAAAATGCAAACAAAAAACGTACTCTGATAATAAATGCATTGTCCTTGAAACTGATTGGTCCACACCAGAGACAGCTTTCTTTAGAGCCTAGTCTCAATTGGTGCATTTTGACTGCAAGTATTGTGGTTAACGCAGACATGAATCCTGGTAAAAAAAAAAAAATCAGTTTTGTTGCCAGAAAAAAGGGGGAAACCCCGATTAGTATTTGCATTGTCCTTGAAAAGTAATGTCCTACACCAGAGACATCGTCTATCTATGACCTTGTCTCAACACCAGTGTGAGACCAGAGAACGGCACAGAGGCAATGCAAATGTCAAGGCGTTCATAGCTCGGGCTCGAGCCGTTAGCATCTATGGGAACCATTTCTCATCATCTTGATAGTGGCAAAAAAATGGCTCCTCAAGACTCTTTGGGGAACGTGAGGGGAACGTGTTTTGCAGTGCGGGATGAAAATGGAGTATCCAATAGTGCCCACGCGTACTTTAGGGTAACGCTCAAAGTATCTGCACAGATAGATTCGAGAATCCGATGCTGAAACTGCCATCGTGAATATATATTTTTTTAATATGATGTGTAATGTGATGTATGGGGCGGTGACACGGTCGAACATGTTGGCCACCTATTTTCAGAGGTACCACTTTTCGAACCTAGCGGCTGCCCTGATCATTACTGCAGGTGGAATGACCAGGATAATACTCTGTGCCGTCTGCTACGCAGCGGACGTTAAAGATCCCGCGACGTTATCCGCAAAGCGTGGGCCAGCATGTGTGGCCGGTCCCAGGGTCCAAATCTGTCAAATTAAAAAGTGACCAGCATATGACTTCATTGGGATTGCGCGTAACAATCATCACCCTCGCCTTTACTAGCAGATTAACACTCCGTTTGCAGGCCAGGTGCTGGGTAACCTTGTACCCACAGGGACAGCTGCCACTGGGGGTGCCCCTTTAAATGTGATGAGGTGAGATGAGATACGAAGTGCTTCGAGAAGCTCCGGCGTGTAGGGCGCTCGATCAAAGCAAAATTAGTATTATTCTCATTTAGATATTTAAATATCATAGTAGCTGCAGAGTTTCCCTGAACAAATCACATGAGCGGTAATTTATTACACGATTTGATGCATGTGCTGTGACCTATGACCTGGGCCTTGGGTAAATACCCACCTCTTAAATTTAATTCCTTCGCATTTTTTGTGATAATCACGGTAGATGAGTACGGGCCTAGAAGGCTAAAAAAATACCAAGCGGCCAGAAAACAAAACGGCACTTATTTAAGATGTAATAGATAATAACTTGAATTCGAGCAAGGTTGCAATAAGAACTTGGGGCAAGTATTTTGACCAGCAGGAGCAGTGGTTGAACACGGCGCGGACGAGAGAACAAAGTTCGTTATCCCGAGACCTCGACACGGTCAAAGGAATCGATTAGTTGCTCAGCCGCCTTCACGGGACCCACACTAACCAGTGTGGAGAAGTATGGTCCAATACGCCCGCACGACTCGCAACAGCGTGGGGAGGCCCTCATCCAGCAGTGGACCGACAAAAGGGAGTGAAGAAATATGTTGCTTCAGATGACGCTTCAAACGAAGCATTTGGGGACCTGGAAGTTGTTTTTGCCCTGCCACGGAGACCCGGGGGAGGCCGTCGATCGATGTTCGCTCACCGGGTTGACGATGGCACCGTTCGTGACTTCTCACCGAACGGAATGGGCCACGCGAAGGCGGCCGCCGGCGCCCTCTTCCATCGCCGCTGTTGACCGCTCTTGGGTCCGGTGACGCCCAGCGTCCCGCGCGTTCATCTCGCAGACGAGCGGGCGCCACTTAAACCGCGACACCACGGAGAAAACACATCGGGGAGAGAGGGTGCTGGGGTCCCCCCGCCAGATAACACAACACGGCCCTTTCAAAGCACTAATCGAATTAGGCAATTTATTATTCAATCAGGTTTTAAGAAGCGATTACAGAAACTAAATTACAGCAACAGTAATTTGGTTGCTTTAATAAGACTTTTTTTTTTAAAACCCCTGCCTGTGAGCCGTTCCAGCGAATCGTAATTTGTCGAAGAGATTCCAGTGAATGTTGTGTCCGCCCCTCCTCCTCCTCCTCCTCCAGTATTGAAACACACTGCTCGACTGAGGCTCTGAATGCGCCCCAATGCAGCTATCAAAATGCCCATACTGTTAACGTGCAGTGGGGGTGCACCGAGTTCAAACGAATACAAGAGCTCAGTCAGCGAGCCACGCACACTCAGCCGTTTGCACGGTAAATGAGAGGCGACGTGGTCTAGCGCGCAGGGGTTATCCGCCGTGGCGTAAGGGGCAGATGCTGGTTTCTCTGTCTCGTGCACTGCAAGTGGCCCGGAGTTCCTTTGGGATTTCAAAAGCCACGCATTAAATAAGAGCGTCAAATAAATACGTGTTTATTCATTACTTTTGCGCGGTTTGCCGACTGAGCACAGGCGCAAAGGCGTGAAAATGTCTCGCGGGCCAGCAACAAACAGCACTCCTTATTCAAGCTGTAATCGACGAGGGTTGCCACGTTTCTTTGAATTGAGCAAAGTTGTTAACGGCTGGGGTAAAGGAGACGATGGGAGTCAAGGAGTCCGATCGTGCTCTCTGGGAGTGAAAATGGAAACGAAAGCGAAAAAAAACACACAGCACCCGCGATAAATCTTACGAAGACATTTTTGTTGTAAACTTTTACATTTGATTCGTTTGTAACGGCAAACATGCTCACGGTGAGACCCATCATACGGGAGTTTTTTTTTGACGTTTTGATTTTCAGCAGAAGAAAGTAAAGCTCTCATAACGATCGTGAAGCATCACGGGATATATACTCTCTTGTAGCATCAGCGGTGCAGTCCAAAACAAATTAATGACTCCGTAATAAATAAACAAATTAACTGCTCCATAATAAATAGACAAATTAATTACTCCATAATAAATAAACACCCCCCCCCCCCCCCCCATTGGAATTGCGGGAACGTTATTCCCACTGGAAAAAAAAAATCTAAATTCCAGGCGAAAAAAAACAGTTGGCTTATTGCATACCGTAGGGGTTGAATCATCAGCGATGTAATTTTGATGTGGCAATAACATGTTAATTGCCGCTACAGCAGTCGATATTGCGTACACAGCCCCCTTCGGTGGTGGTGGTGGAAGGGGGGGGCACACACAAGGGTGTCTGTGTGAGTCCCCCACCCCCCCCGCAGAGGACCGCTGGCACGGGGCCACGGAACCCCAGCGGCTCCCTTGCAAGCAGAACGCAAACTCTTCTCGTCCTTATTTTTTGTAAAATGCCCCCCCCTCCACCCCCCCCCCCCAAAAAAAGTATTTTAAATCACTGGCCTCCCAGTTGGTTGTAAATCCCATTAGAGCAGGGAGTGGGCGTTGGGTCGGGGTCAAATTTTCACGGATCGTAAGGGTTTGTTGCGAGTCTGAAGATGGTGGGGTGCGACGGCTGGCGAGAGAGGGAGTGTGGTGTATATATGTATGTAGGTATGTTGAACATCTTTCGCGCCGTACGTAGCCAACCGTGCTAATCTGGTTGGAGGAGGGAATGCCAATGAGTAACTGCTGCGTGTGGTGGTGGCGGTGGTGGCGGCGGCGGTGGTGGTGGTTATTGTGGCGGTGGTGACGGCATTGGTGGTAGTGGCAATGGTGGTGGCGGCGTTGGTGGCGGTGATGGTGGTGATCATGGCGGTGGTGATAGCATTGGTGGTGGTGGTGATCGTGGTGGTGGTGGTGGGGGTGATAGCGGTGGTGGTGGGGGTGATAGTGGCAGAGGTGGTGGTGCATAATCAGGAATCTCTAACGCAGTGCCCTAACCACCTTGATACTATATATACACACACACATATATTTAAATCACAAGCCTTCTGTGAATCACGTGACTTGTGTGACCACACCCACTCTAAATCTCTCCCTTCTCCCCACCACCTGTGAAAAATTACTCTGCTCTGTACGATTCCACTTCTGCTTGCTCCATCCTTTTCCTCCTTCCCTCTCTTCCCACTCCTATCCTCATCATCATCATCATCCTTTCATCATCATCATCCCCCTATCATTTCCGATATATTGAACCGGTCAGTCCTTCTTCCCTTCGTCCAATTCCTGCCTGGCAATCCTTTCTTCCTCATGGTCATCTTGAGCCATGCCTTATTTGTCCATCTTGTGGACTATTTTTTATTTTACCAGTTAAACCCACTGAGCGATATGGCTGTTTATCAGAAGCGACCTAGCCACAAATGATAGTTCAACGAAGTGGCTGATCATGCAGAAATGTATAGCAATCAAACACTCTAAACGCGTGTTGATTCTAAATGAGGAGGGAAAAGCCAGTGGACCCAGAGAAAAATTCACGTGACCATGGGGAGAAGACACCAACTCTAAATATACAGCAAGCGTCTGGGTCAGGATCTAACCCACGACTTTCTGTATACCAGGCGAGGTAGTTAACATCTCGCTACCGTTGGGCTCCACGGTGGCGACTTCCATTCTTTATCTTGTTACATTCATTACATCCTTGACTCTAGTCCCCATCCCGTGGCATGTGCCACAGGCAGAAGTTTTCTAGGCCAAAATATCTGTTCGAGTCTCAAGGGACTTTTTAGAACGACCCTCTAAGAGGAGGTCCTTCTAACAGCAGTGGCGTGAGTTAAGTAATTGCAGGGCCGCACCTTTACCCTGTTATGTGCGCACACGGACAGGCCACACAGAATACGCAAAAACAGGCCCCCACATTGCCCCACGCCACCACCCATCACCCCCGTGCCTGGCTGAAACATTTAAACAAGCAAAACCGCGAAACTACAAAGATTCATTCTGACGTGGATAGACCTCCTGCTCTTAAAATTTTGTTCGAAAAATGTTGTTATGCAAAGTTTTTATTTTATTTCTTTCAGCATAGCAAACATTTCTCTCTCTCTCTCTGGAATCAAGAGAGACGCGCCACAAAACGTCCAGAGATTTATTGCACCAATCTGGAATACTTTGTTTGCAGTGTGTAGTTTTGGCGCGCGGCCCCGTCGACACGGTGCCAAGGTGGCCCCGGCGTGCCGCGCTCACCACGAATTTAAGACACAAAAAAAGCGGGTCAAGTGCCGCAAGTCGAAAGCAGGCGGCGAACAAACCTCGGTCTAATTTCTTATTTACGCAGACAAAGCCTCGCCCGCGAGCCTTGGGGCTCACTTTTCAGGAGGAGGAGGATCCAACGCCACGCTGGGAAATTTGGCAGAGTTTGTTTCAGAGTTTGGGTTGGTTGTTTTTATTTATTCCACGTGGGGGAGGAGAGTGCCAGGACACCAGGAGATAACATTCAATGCTCAGAGCAGATGCGTTGTGAAACCCACTTTCTGCAGTGCCTTTCAGATCCACTTCTTTGCTCTGTACATTGGCGGTGCTTTGACCCTTTGCTATAAACATTTATTTTTTTCTAACAAACAAATATTTGATTAACTTTTAATCACACGGGCGCTGTGTAAAAGGTAACGGCGCAGCCCTGCAATTGCTTAACTCATGCCGCTGCTCACGGAAGGACCTCCACTTGCAGAAGCTCCAGAGCCGCTCAATAAGGTATTTGGCCTACTCTTCCATGTCAACCAGACGTCTTGAGTACACAGGATATATAAAAAAAAAACTCAACGAGATCCCACACGCTGCTCGCTCAGCCTCCGTGACGATTGCCGGAGGGGGGAGCGATGCCACCCACTCCAAACTGACGCTGCCGGGTCTCCGTTCCCTCGCCCCCGCAGGTGCAGTGCCACAGTTTCACGGGCTACTGCTGGTGCGTTACGCCGGACGGCAGGCCCGTGGGTGGCTCGTCGGTCAAGAACAAGCTGCCCAAGTGCACAGGTGCCACGAGATGTTGCGGTCAGATGTTGCACGTTATTGTTTCTTTGCTCTGTGTTTGGTGCATTTTGCTTATTATCTATGGGACCTTTTTTTTTTACCAGCATCAAGACGATGCCTTGCAATGTTGGGTGTCTATTTGGTGTTGGAATAATCCTAACACCTGTTTTATTGCCAGAAAGGGGAACGTCTATTCTCACTTTGCTATTGATCTGATTTTATATAGATCAACGTAGAATGGTGTTAAGCACGTATTGTGAGTTTCTACCGAGTAAATTGTGACTGCCGTTTGTGTAACCAAACAAACGATTAACCCAACGCGTCGCTTAATGAGGGAAAATGCTGTTTCTACAATGGCACGTCACGCGGCTTCACGATGGAATCTATTACGGCGTTTGCAAGCATATAAACGTTTCACTGAGTGAAAACTCACTCAGCACTGCGGCGGAACATTCCATATAGTGAAACAAATAAACTTCCAATGTTCAGCCCAACACAGAAAATAAAAAGTTGTTCTTTTAGTCTCTGCGTAATGGCCTTCTAATCTTACACGAAGCAGCAACGTTTATTTAAGCAAACTCTGCACTGGCGTCAACACCTTGTTTAGAGAGCCTGACTGCTGATGAGACCCAGAAAATCTAAGCTAGCACACTGTTTGTTCGCTGAAATAAAAAATTATGCCGGTCAAAATCATTCTAAAATGTCAGCGGGTGATGGACCGAAATATATTACATTTTTGAGTGGAAAGATGGAACGGAAGTATATGTATTTATTTATACATATATACTTATAGGTATTTATTTATACAATGTATCGAGTACTTTTATAACACGCTTATCGCTCAGCAGACATCAACGTTGTGCCAAATACAAACGTTTAGCTCACGTTTTTACGCTGCCAGTGCTGCAAGTTAGAACTATTTGTGCTTTAAGGTTCAGATAGCTCATACTTTTAAGCGCACATTACATTCGCACCGTTCATATTTTACAAATTTATCATAATCATGGGAGCTCTACGCCGTGACTCGTGCAGGGATTCTGGTGTATTTCGGATAAACATTTTTGCAAGAGCGTGTAAACAATGGGTATGGCTGAATGTGTTTTTCAAGGTGATAAAATTTCACTCAGCAGCTGCACTTTTTTGCCCCAGGATCAAGCGTTGAAATGTATTTTTTTGTATTGCGCTTGCCAAAGTCATAATATTATTATTAATAATAATAAAAATGCGGCCTGACTATTTAAAAAAAAAAGTCCAAATGACATTCTCACAATACCACACGGTCACACGGCATTTAATAATTGCTTAATTAATTATTTACCCTTTTCACATAAATGAACCACGGAAATCATAACAGACCAGCATTTAAACCTTGTCCTATTCACTCAGGCACCACTCTACCAAATATTATAAAGAAAAACCCTCGTGGCAAGGAATCGATGAGTTCTTTTTTTTTTGTTCAACGTCGCCAGCGGCGTTAAAATCACGACGAGGGCAACGTTCCCAACAAACGGAGAACGCTGCAGCAGCACTGCTGGGCACGGAAGCTCGCGCCAGCGGTGGAGCTCTCAAGCGTGCAGGCGGTGCAACTGCACCGCGGGCCTACAGCCCAAATAAACCCAGGTGCCCGCTGCACCACTAAGAAGAAGAGGAGGAGCGGGCGGGGGAATTATACATGGGGGGGGGGGGGGGGGGGGGGGGGCTCCCCACCCATATAATTTCTGACTTAGTCACAAATACCACCGTCACATCCTACATTGGTCTCCCCAACATAGAGGGCCTTCGTCCCTCTGGGCCCTGTTCGGGCACGCGGCTAGTCGTCTTTGCCCAGACCTTCTGGCTCACGTTGCCCTGCGGTCGAGTGACGGAGTCAGATTCGGAACAAAAGCGGGATCTGAAACAGAAGCCGGATCTGGAACAAAGGCCGAATGAAAACAAAAGCCAGATCTAGAACACAAGCCGGATCTGGAACAAAAGCCGGAACTGGTACAAAAGCCAGATCTGGAACAAAAGCCGGAACTGGTACAAAAGCCGGATCTGGAACAAAGGCCGAATTAAAAAAAAAGCCAGATCTAGAACACAAGCCGGATCTGAAACAGAACCTGGATCTGGAACAAAAGCCGGATCTGGAACAAAAGCCGGATCCAAAACAAAAGGCGGATATGGAACAAAGCCAGATCTGGAACAAAAGCCGGATCCGAAACCAAAGCCAGATCTGGAACTAAAGCCGGATCTGAAACAGAACCTGGATCTGGAACTAAAGCCGGATCTAGAACAAAAGCCGGATCCGGAACCAAAGCCGGATCTGGAACAAAAGCCGACCCAACGTGGGTTCACCAGAGGGGATGCCCATGCCCAACCCGGTGCCTGCAGGTAATCGTGCACCGATGATGTGGCCCCGTGCCTTATCCAGGGGGCCTGGTTGGGTGCGATGGATCTCGACCCCTGGAGGAACATTCGGAACAGTGGCCCATTGACGACTTAGCGACGACTGCCCCGTCCCCCCGTTCAACCCATCGCATTGGGACCCACGGCGCCAAAATACGCGACACCGCAGCTGAGATGCGCAATCGGCGCGTCCGTCCGTGTGTGTGCGCAGGCCCAAGCGGGGAGAAGCCGCCGCGGTCCGACCGAAATCCCAGCCGAAAAGGTAAATGGAGCCCTGGAGGCAATTCCGCGATCACTCTTTAAGGGCGCCGCTCCCCCCTTTCCACATAACCCCCTCCCTGCCAACCCGACGCCCCCCGTTACCACCAGCACCCCTACGCTGCCCCCCCCCCACCCCCTGCTCACCACGCGGTCAATCCCAACGGTCTCCGACCTCCTGCTGATGGCCCCACGCTGGTAGTAGCTTGCTGTCTGGAGACAACAACCGGGGCTGTAACGATTTGCACCCTCCCCCCCCTCCCCCCGTGGAATTCCGCGGATGAGCACGAGGTGTGTTTTCGAAGCCAGAATGTGCCGCTTTGTTTAATTTTTTGTTACATCGCTCCATGGTGTCGCGACCCTCGAGGCCGCAGGGATCACCTGAACCAATTCCAAACGAAACTGAATGAATGCATAATTTGAAACCTTAAAAGCGCACGTGACTCTATGAATATATCGCGAGAGTAAGGATAGATTTAAATCGGTGAATTGACGCCATAGTTACAGGCCTGGTGCCCGCGTTTCTGCCTCACCGCTCCCTGCTGCTGCTGAGCCACTTAACAAAAAGAACACATCTCCGCATTAGAGTCCACTACTTTACAGATTGTGTCATCAACATTCCAAGCAATCGCACAGAGTGACCGAACACAATATTCGCTGTAAGAGACGCAGCTTCGAATAACTTAAAGGGAACACAAGGGCTTTAGCGGTATTAACCGATTCAAGATCCTGCTGACGGAGCTCACAGACACACAGACATCCGTCGATGTGCGTACGAGCTCTCTGCAGGCTTTGATTTGTGCAGTCTGTGAGCACCTGTCCAGGCACGGTGGGAGCCTTAGCAGCCGTGCGAATGCTCAATCTCACATCTGCTGTGCAGTGTGGCCTAACAAACGCTGCTCCTTATTTGGGGGGTATCACGAGCAGGGGGAATGGCTGAAGTGGTGGTGATGATGATGATGGTGGTAATGGTTGAAGTGATGGCAGTGTTTGCAGTGGTGGAGCTGGCCATAGCGGTCGTGGTGGTGACGTTGGTCAAAGTGCTCGTGGTGTTGGCGGTGGTAGTGGTAGAAGTGACGGTAGCAGTGGCCAGGTAGTGGTCATGATGGTGGCAGTGGCGGTTGCGATGATGGTGGAGGTAGTCGTGATAGTGGTTATGATGATGGTCGTTCTAATGATGATAACTTCTGGTGATAGTGGCGGTGGGATTGGCAGTGGTGATAGCGGTCTTGGTGGTGGTTGTGGTAATCACAGCAGTGACGGTGGTGATGTAGGGCCGTGGCGGTGAAGGTGGGGGCAGTGGTTAGCAGAAGTTGCGGTCGTGGTCATAGCAGTGGTGGTGGCGATGTTGGTGTCGGTGGCAGTGATGTTGGCAGTGATGTTGTGGTTGTAGCGGTTAGCGCGCTGCACTACGAACCCGGCGACCCGAATTCGATCACCGCTCGCGACCATCCACAGTGGCGATCATCTGAACCGGTCCTGGGCCTCCCCTTAGGTCGACTCAGCCTCAAATATGAGTGCCAGCTGCGGTGTGTAAAGACCGCCACTGCAGAGACAAAAGGCGACCGGGCGTGGTGCTGGCCACCCACCCGCTCGTGTGCCGTGGTCGGCCTTCGTAGGTGCTAGCGAAAGTTTGCCGGTGACGGGCCATTGTTTTTTTTTTGCATTTACTTACGCCGGACACTTGGACAGCTCGTTGGGCACAGAGCGCCCCTCGAAAAGGGCATGGCAGTGTGTTCAGCGCTCCGTGCCAGCGTGCCGCCGGCGTATATCGGAGCTGCCGATCATGCGCATGTGTTGTGCCGCTCGCGATAAACAGACCCCCGGCCGTGAAACAGAGCAGCTGTATGGGCCACCGGCGAGACCGAAACCCGACTCCTGGAGAAAAAGAAACGAGAGAGCTGTTTAAAGCACAAATTAAATTTGGAATGCATGGATTATGCATCAACACCAATGTTTTGCATTCCTCCCCCTGATTTATGCAACTTACTCACGTTAGCCGACTCGCTTTTTTTGGGTCAGGTAAAATAAGGACCTCATTTTTTTCAAGGCCAAAACGTAATACGTAAATAAATAATCTAATATCGTGACTTTTATCAACCAATTTTTTTCCTCTCCACCCCCCTCCAAAAATATAACTTATGCGAAGTGTATATTCCAGCCTCGTTGCTCTTCGGCAGAAGCCATGGGCCGTTGAATCTCGCGTCTTGTGCTCACTGACACGCTCAAGCTAATATTTTGCTCTAGAAGTAAATGCTTGCTAACCCAGAGGTCCGGTTACTCCCGAGCCATTTCGTTTCTCCGCATGGGTATGCCTGTTCAATAAACTAATTGATGAAAATAATTCAGCCCATAAACTGGCACGAAGTTCTTTTTTTTGTTATAACTCTGCAGACAGCGTTTGTTTTTGTGGTGTGTGTGTGTGGTGGTAAGCGCGCTGTGCTACGAACCCGGCGACCCGAGTTCGATTCCCGCTCACAGCCAACAACAGCGACGAATATCTGAAGCGGTCTTGGGCCTCCCCTAAGTCGGCTCAGCCTCAAAATGAGTACCAGGTGCAGTGTGTAAACATCGCCACTAAGAAGACAAAGGTGGCCGGGCGTGGTGGCCACCCACCCCTCGTGTGCTGTGCTGACCTTTATAGGTGCTACTCGCTAACAGCAGCCTCAAAAAAGTGTTAAGGCTCTACGGGGGATGTTTGTCTTTGTTTGTGACCTCAAACATATCGGTGGCCATGGCTTCTTCATCGCTGGCAGGTCTAGGGCATGTGGCCTGTGTGCGGTAATGACAGAAAATGGAGATAATTAAACTTCTTGAGTGCAATTTACATGCCTAGGCTTTTGTGTTTTTTTTTGCCATCCGTAGCCTTCGCCGTCTACAATAATTGTCGCAAGTTCGTTCCAGGAAGCCTTCAAATAAATTCAAGCCACACCGCCGTATCGTCCAAATTCACTGCACATTATGTTGTTGGAGCAGATTAAATTCGCACAGAAGTGCACTTTAATAGAGTTGCCTTCGAGATGACGGGCAAGCGTGAAAGAATAACAAAGCCACAAACTGCATACATGTCTGATTGCGACGAGAGAGAAACTATTTTTGCAAATTCCAATGCAGAAATAATGGCTTGCGTAGTGTTCGCCTCCTGCTAATGTAGAATCCCCCTGGCTGAGCGCACTGGCGACTGGGACACCTGTGGAAAAAGAGCTTCATAGCTCATCGGATTTCTCAAGGATAAATAAAGATTCTGATTCTAATTGGCTACGCGCAAGAGTCACGGTCGCTTAACTAACCCCACTAAGGCGCCCGCTTCCCTGCTCCCCGCCTTGCCTGCTCCCTTCCCTCTCGCTTCGCGGGACGCTCCCCACCCTCCGCCTCTGCCGCACCACCGCTGTGCGCCACCTCCCGCTGCACCCCAGCCCGCCCGCTCCACCCCAGCCCGCCCGCTGCACCCCAGCCCGCCCGCTGCACCCCAGCCCGCCCGCTCCACCCCAGCCCGCCCGCTCCCAGACAGCTGCGGCGACGAGGTTTGGCGCTCCGTCGCGTGCAGCCTCTCCTCGCCCGCCGTTAGCTCAGAGCGCACGCGATGCGGCCGTAGCCACCAGGGTCCCGGGGGGCCGCCGGCATCACTCACGGGTGCCGCCCGCCCCCCCCCGGGGCCCGACACTCTGGCGGCGGCGGCGGAGCAGCGAGAGGACGAGAGGGAGCGAGAGGGAGCGAGAGGACGTCCGCCGTGCTGGACGGCGCCTCCACCGCCACCACCGCCGGGTTCCCGCGGCGCTGTGACGCCGGCGGAGAACGGCGCCCTGCGGAGGGCGACGCACGGTTAGGGAGTCTAAGTGGGTTTGGGGGGGGGGGTGACAGGCGTCAACCAGTAAGTGCTCTTGCTTGGCTTTCCGCAATGCCGATTAGCCGCGGTTAAGCCAAGCGGGTGGAACTGTCGCGCGGCACGCGAGGTTGTTGCTGTTGCTGCTGCACGAGAGACTCGTGGGGATACAAGCTGGCCGGCAGGTGGCAGCGTAGCGAGTGGCGTGATGCTCGAGATCTTCATCAAATAACCCTGCGTGGCCTCGATGGGTGGAGGGGCGGGGGGGTGATGTTTCTGGAAATGACCATTTCTTCAAAGCGCACGCGGTGGAAGGATATTGAAAAGCAATGTGCCATACATTTCGGTGAAGTACAGCAAGTAGGTTGTTGACTCCACCGTGCCGATTTTTTTATCGTGTCCCTCCAGCGACACAGTCCAGTTGACACAGGCCCTGCTGCAAGGGGATTGAATGGCCTCCCTCCCCGACCCCTTCCTGTTTAATTTCCTCTACGCAGCTTGGTAGCTCGGTGGCCGTGGGGTCTCGGTGCAGTTGCACCGCCTGCACACTCACGAGTTACGTAACAACGTGTGTCAAGGCATGGACGTGTCCCGAGTGTCCTCACACCCCCCCCCCCCCCCCCCCAACGTGCGCAACACTCTCGATCACACATTTGCCAAACATTCCAACGTAGGACCCTCCTGTAAAAGAGTTGTTGAGACTCAATGAGGCCTTTCCGGATAAAGTGCATTATATAACTCAGCCACGGTCTGAACTTTGGGCCAATGGTTCGTGCTTAGCGACACAGTTGAGCCACCTGCATTCACAAACATGAGCTCTTTGTGTGCTGACGTCACTCATGCGCCTCACAGAAACACATTTAGGCTGGTTAATTGTTTCTTGTGCGAACTTATGTAAAAGCATTTGTTCGTAAACGTTACTAAGCATGTGGGTGGAACAGTGGTCCAGGCACCGTGCTGTGAACGCGATTCTCGATCACGGCTAACATCAGTGGCGAGTGATATTTGAATTGGTCCTGGGCCCCACCCTCACTCAGCAACCCGCAGTGACCAGTGTGGTGAAGTATGGTCAAGCAACTCCCACGCCCCCAACACTGCATGGGGAAGGCATTAATGCAGCAGTGGATTGAGAAAGGGCTGCAAATCACAATGTTATTATTATGATCATCATAATAATACTAGAAAATATAAATGTAAAGCGTTCCAAAGAAATGTGATAACGGGAAAACTACTTAGAAAAACCCAACTTTTTTTTCCCTTAAACCTTACGGGTATTTTTTTTTGAGGCACCGAAAGATAAAACCATGAAGCCACAACCTTCTTTACTCTCTCAGTGCTCAGACGAAGGGCCCACAGTCTGGAATTGGGAAAGGCCTTAAATACGTATCAAATAAACAATTGTGTATAAACGAAGGTGCATAAACTCAACCAGTCAAAAGACATCACGAAAATATGCATACTGGGAAGAAATTACACTCATATTTGTTTGAGGTAATATTCGTCTTTGGCGCGAATGACAAAATGCATTTGAAAAATTAACCCCTCGTGTCTATTGGCTGACTGAGGTGTCCAACGTTTCAAGAAATGAGAAGAAATATGAATAAGGGCTTCTGCAAGCATATACTTAGGGCATTAGCTGTAACGATGTCAACAGTAATTTCTGAAGAATTTAGTTAACGAGTCCCATGGCTTCTCGAATTGTAAAAGCCCTCTCCGCGGGGAGAAAGAAACCAATAATTCACAACTTACTTTTCGTACGCAGTGCGTGAACGCTTCGCAGTTCAAATTTCCTCCGTTTAAAAATGCATTATATATGTCTCGTGTCAGCTGCAAGCATCCAGCAAACATCACGATTTTAAATTATAACATTACACACACACGCGCGCACGCAACCGGGGTATTTATTTTTTCCACACAAAGTCAGAGTTGTCATTTCACAAAAAAAGCAAGAACAACAACAACAACAATAGAGACACGTGTTTTTTTTTCAACGGCTATTGATTTTAATTCCAGGGCGTTAATTATCGCAAAATAGCACGGGTCTCACATGGATTATAAACAAACAAAAAATAATTTAGTCAGCGCCGTCCGCCCGCTCGCCGACGTGGTGAGCCGATGCCCGCTGATGTATTTATCGTAGCGCGTGTGACCCAGCCAGGGTAATGGGAGGCTGGCTGGAAGGGGGGGGGGGGGCAGTCCCCCTGGGGAAATAAGTGCTGTCTGCGAGCGCTAACAGCGCTGGCGAGCAATGTGTACCCCCTCTGTTCCCTCGCCTTCGATTCAGAAAAGCCAACATTTTCTCCGCGGTGGGGTTTTTTTTTCGCTCCTCCCTCCTCCTCATCCTCGTTGCGTCGCATTCAAAAACCACTTTGAATTTTTTCGCGAATTCTAAAAAGGCGGAATTCAAGTTCTTTCTCCAGCCGGAGGAGCAATGCAACAGCCGTGAGTAAATCAGTGCGCGCATTGTGTACCGCGGTTCTGCTATGAGGCAGCGTTAATGACGAAAGATTTTTGCGGGCCCGTATAATTAAACAGTTAAGTGCAGGAGGACTCCTCTTATTTGGGGGGGGGGATGTCATTTTCCATGGGGGTTGTATTCCATTTATTCTCATTAAAAAATGCGGGTAATAGGATGAAATTAACGATCCATTTCTCATCCGCAAAGTAATCCGCACATCATAGAAAGCCGTTCTTAGCTGAAGGAAATACCCCATGTAATTGAAGTATTTGCATATCAAGATGGTATCACCATTCGTCCGTACAGAATGTGCACAAGGCTGGAAGTGTCATATTGACATGCAAAGCATGCTGGGATTCCTGTTTCATCATGCTGTTGAAGACACCGTTTGCCATACGTATTAATTACAAACTCCTTTTGCAGACTGAAGAAATATTTTGCCATTAACACTGCCTCATAAAATAAGACAATATATCAAGCACATGTTTTGGGCAATTGGTCTTTCTTAAGAGCAGATAGAAAGCGCAGCCAAGGATACTTTGACCGATTTCGGTTAGGAGAGTACATGTCCACAACACGGTGCCTTGAAAACACTGAGCAATAGGAGTGACACAAAAGTTTGGAGACAGCCGAGTTCTACGTATGGCTAAACAAACAATGTGCACGTCATTTAGACGTGACAGTCTGTCCGTCCTATCCCTCCGAACGTGACGTACGTATTTCATTTAGCCACGGGGGCCTATGCAAACCAAACCCAATAAGCATTAAATCAGGAAGGTTTATAGCCGCGATTTATTTAAAATCTCAGTATGTCATTTTAGGTTAAGGATATCAGTTGCTCGCAGGCAATAGCTGTTGGGGCAAGACCATAACTTTTTTTTACCAACAAGAAATTTGTGATTGTAAATAACTGACGAATCATTCATGCATTTTAACAATCCGGTGTTATGTAACTGTTTTCAGCCGAACATAGAGTGGAAACTCATCCATTGCAGTCATCTAAACTTGTCACATCTCAGAAGCTAAGCAAGGTGGGGTTTTGTTAGTACTAAGATTTCAGACTTACCCATGCTGTAGACGTGGGATGTGAGGTGGCCGGTGAGCAATCGATTATTATATCCATTCGTGCGGAGTTTTGAGTGTTACCCCCGCGCCCCCCGTATGCATGGTGGCTTTTTGTGAAGTTTTTTTTCGCAAGCTAAATGATCAGTAATGGCATTGGTCAAACATCCAAATGCAGGACCCTCCTGAGAGCAAATTGAGACTCAATGAAACGCTCCCTTGGTTAATAATAACGGGGTAGATTCGTTGTTGTTCGAAGGAGCCGCTTCAAAAAAATATATGGATGTCGCACGAATTACGGCATTCACACGAGTTTTCATGAGTATTTGTCGATTTCGACGAATAAACCAAACTCAGAAGATGTTTCGTTCCACGACTGCGGAGGAGTTCGCGGCTGCACTACGGAGCTCTCTCTCTCTCTGCTGTTTTCGGGTGGCACCGCGTCTTGTTCGACGTTTCGCTTTGCGTTCTGGGGGATTCTTCAGGAACTGAATCAGAAGCTTCCAGCAATGTGGAGCAACGCGTCGAAACATCCTGCTAAAACGGCACGGTGCAACCCGTCAAACGCCCATCGGGGAGGCCTATTGCTTTTTTATTTCATCACAAACCAATTCCCCTCTTCAGAAATGTCCATCGTTATTGTTTGGCACCGAACCCATCCTGCCAGCTCGCTTGGCTCCCCTGCTGTGGTCATGGTCACCGACCTCCGCAGCTTGGCGAACTTTGGGGTAGACTGAGCAGCAGTCGTGGGAGAAGGAGGTTCACCCTCCCCACCAGCTATATCTACGGACTGGCTGGGAGGTCGGAGCGAGTGGACTTATTTCGACCGGTAACAAATATCACCGATCGATTGACATTGATTCTCGGAGGCTCGCGACACTCGCATTGAATCGCGTGCTGCGAGAATAATCATTGCGAGATTTCTCGTGCGTTTTACGCAACGGGGTTCGCGTGACACCGGCAGCTACTGGAGGCTGCTATATCATTTACTTTGCTTGAAAAAACTCGACTCGTGCACTGAATCGCAAGCCTGAATCACGGCAAAGCACCAAATTGCCCGGGGGATGATGAATCCCTACACACAGAGTAACAAGCATATCCTATTATGAACACAAATATTTTAACCGACCCATTATTTACTTTAGTACATTGCAAATGTGTTATTCGAAGTTTATAAATGTTAGAAACACTGGAAGCCAAGGATTAAATTCCACGATCGCTGGTGTTCTCACGTAACCACCGCATGTCCTATCACCTCGGCGACAGTGCCTCTATGCAACGCTCATCAAACGCTGGTGGGCCCTCATCTGTGTGGGCGGCACAGAACCGCAAGCATTGCCAAGGACGCAACCCATGCTGTGGATCCACGTCGCTCGTAAACTTACACCGTTATGGTTATATATATTTAATATATATATAAAATATATAATTGTATATATTTATGAAATTTGTTGTGTGCGTGGCCGGGCAAAAAACTGTTTTCCACCTTTGTTGAGGAGTAGATTGTCTTTATCTCAATAATGTCAGTCTCCTTTCAATTCTTCCTGTTTCTGAACGCAGACGACGGCTCCAAACCCACGCCCACGCAGGAGCCACATTTCGGCGATGACGACGGTGAGGTTCTGAGGATGGGGGGGGGGGTCGGCGGCGGGGGGTGCATTCAGGGCAAGGGAGAGACTGCAACACGAATGATCAACTCTTTCCCGTTCCGGTGCCGTACGCGTACGTCATCGGAACGAAATCCGAATGAAAAAGGCCACGCGGGAGGGCGTGCGGCATAGTTCGGCGCCAGCTCTCGTAGAGTGCGCGCGTTTGTCGCTACGGTTCTCTGCGGTGAGGACAGTGTCTTTTAAAACAGCGGCGGTCCGCCTCCAAATCAAATGAACGCTGAACTGCTTGCGCGTTCCACCCTGCAACTTGCAGACCTTTCGGAACGGGAGAGGGTTAATGAAGTGGCAATGAATGAGAATTTTGGTGTTACTTAAAAGAACGAATTCACCGATAATGAGGCGAGTCAACTCTCAGCCATTGATTGTAACGTTTTAAAAAAAATTGCCCTTGTTCAGCACAGAGCGGGTGGCCGACCAGACTAGGGGCCACTCTTCGAAGTGGTTAGAGCACTGCGTTATAAACCCAGAGGTCTTCATCCAGCAGTGGATTGCAAATAATCAAGTAACGCGTTGCACACTGTGTGTCTTTCCTTTTAGAAGCCATATAGGGTGGCGTTTACAATGGCGACTTGTATTTGGTCAACGCTGCACTCCCAGCGCAGTTCTTATTTTATTGGAAAGTTATCCACATTGTCTTGAGTCATTGCACTGCGAATTAAGTGAAACAGAGTCCAAGCTATCATGTTGGTTTCCAAGTGACCGTTAAAGAGGTTATTTTCCTTGGGCAGGGTTTGTGAGTGCATATGTGCGCATTCGTGTGTGTGTGTGTGTGCGCGTCTTTGTTTTTGTGCGCGAGTAGCGGAACGGCGCCACAGATGTTAGCGCACCGGGCTGTGAAACCCAGCGACCCGAGTTCGATTCCCTCTCGTGACCAATATCCATTGACGATTATCGGGGCCGGTGCTTGGTCTTCCCTAGGTTGACTCAGCACTAAATGAGTACCTGGTGTGGTGTGTGTAAACATCAGCACTGGGGAGACAAAGGAGGCTGGGAGTGGTGCTCCTTACCCACTCCCTCGTGCGCTGGGCCAGCCTTCATAGGTGCTCGCTAACGGCACTTTCCTCAACAGCCCGCGTGGCCTACACGGGGCGCTCTTTGTGCGAGCGGTGTGGCAGTTAGCGCACCGCGCCGTGAAGCCGGCCACCTGAGTTGGATTCCCGAATATTTTAACTGGTGCCCTCGGTCGACTCAGCCTTAAATGAGTGGGGTACCTGGTGTTTGGCCACCAACCTCCGCCACCTCACCACCGCCAGGAAACATGCAACGTTGGGCCAACATCGGTTGACGTTGGGCCAACATTGCATGTTTACTCGTGTGGCGGGATGGCCTACAGAGGTGCTCGCCAACAGCACTTGCCCTAACAAGGCTATACTAGGGACATCTTTGTCTCGGCGTGTAAATGCCTCGTTTGATAGTTCATCAACATTCACAAACAAATCTCCAAAGTTCACATTGGGATCATCAAGAATCCGATGCAAATCCTCTGGGAATTATTTATACTCCTGAGTGCAGCGTTTGTTCCCTACCTTCTTGCCTTTTAGAATGTTTGTTTTGTTTATCTTGGCTAAAGACGAGGATAACTAGCTATTTTTTTTTTCGTCACCAATGTCATTTTAGTTTTATTCTAATGGATTTTTAACAGCATATGTTTCCAATATATTTCGCCAGAATTTACTCTCCGATGCATTAGTTTACTAGGAAACGAAGATACTTTTGTTATTTTGCTGTACGTAAACCAAAGGAAGATGCCCGCTGAAATCCGAAGCTTTTAAGAGTCACGCGACACCCATTTACGGAATGACGTGTAAATCACATGCAGCGGCTGCGCCGTTTTAAAACCGCACTCGCTGCACAAATATTTTTTGTACGCCCGTCGCGTCGGGAGTGTGCGGCGGCGGCGACGAACTCACGTTCCCTGATGGCCGTGTCTCTTTTTCAGACATAATAAACGCTCCCACCTTGTGGAGCAAGCAGCTGTCGAGTGCACGCGACGGACGGTCCAACGGATCCTCTTCCAGGCATCCCGGTAACACGGACAGTGACGCTCACACCAAACGCCAACACAGAGGCGAGGAGCCCTGCCCCTACCCCACCCACCGTTTAGCCTCATGAGCTACGAGCGTTGCTAATGCCTCGTTTTCCACCGCACAACCGAGCCGCGCCAGGCCCGTGCCGAGCTGCGCCCAGCGCAGCTCGGGAGGCTCCGGTGGTTGTTTTTCCCACTGCGGCAGTCGAGGCGTGCCGGCGACGAGACGCGCGACACGCCGTGCGACACGCCGTGCGACACGCCGTGCGGAAGGGACACGGCGGTGCCCCGGGTCCCTCGCGGCGTTACCGACTGCCGTCGCGTGCCATTCGCCAGTCGAGGTGCGGCGCGTAGGCGGCACGGCGACACGCGGGGTACCGAGTGACATCTCACGCGATGCACGCATCATTGGGCCCCGCCCCTGGCCCTGCTTGGCCCACAGCCAGATTCAGACGTCTTCTTGTGAGGCTTGGCACGGCAAATAGCCGGTGGGATAAGGCGTCCATACCGCGACGGCCCCGCGCTGGCTCGACTCGGATGTGCCAGTGCAAAGGAGGTATCGACGTCGGCACGGCGCACATCAGAGAGCAGCGATGTGACCAAGTCTCTCTCTATATATAATATATATTAATTACTTCCCCCGTCATACACAGCATTAGAGCAATGCCGGATCAATAATGTATCCCCCCCCCCCCCCAACCCTGCATATAGAGTGAAGTGGCTGAGCTTCAGATAGTGGTATGAGGGCAGTGAGCTAGATCCCAACACACGTCTATGAGCTGCGTTCAGAAGCCCGACCATCGCTTCTGAGAGTAGCGACAGCTCCGGACCGCACCCGACAGTCACTCCCGTCGCTGATGAATGAGCAACGCCGCTGCAGCTCGACGGGGCTGCGTGTCCAGGAGCACGTGAGCCACAACTGGGGAAGGTTGGGAATTCAAACCTGGGTTGGAGGTCAACTGAGCCACATCCCTCTGGGATCAATAAAATGGGTAGTCGGCATCGGTCACCTTGTGCGTCATAGATGGAGAGAGCGGCCTCCAACTGCCATGGGAACGTGGAGCTTCTACCACCGCCTCAGAATTGGCAATAAAGAGAAGCAGTGCACCATTGCCCATTGAAGCAGGGATACGACCTTGACTTATTTTACATTTTGATTTGTACAACGACTGCGCGATGACTTCGGTCGGCCGAGTTCGATTTCCAGTAACGGCCACTGTCAGTGGCAAGTGATATCCGAACTGGTTCTGGGACTCGCCCCGCTTCACCATGCCCGCACTGACCTGCGTGGTGAAGTAGGGTCGTATCACCCCCCACCCCCCAAATATCAGAGGCCTTCATTCAATAGTTTAATGACAGGTAGGCGCAGCCCTGCAATTACTCTCTCACACCACTGCTGGCAGAAGGGCCTCCACTCTGGGGAGCTCTAGAGAGCTCCCTCTGGAGAGTATTTTTGGCCTTCTCTTCCATGCTGGAATAGGTTGGAGTACTCGCACTTTACCCCACCGCATGCGACCTCATAATCGACAAACTGTGGTGTAAGCATTTATACCGCAGGATGGACTGAGTTGGGGGGGGGGGTTGGGAAACGCAGTAGATTTACAAACGGCTGTGACCCGAATTCTTTTTTATTTATTAGTTTTTTGTTTTTATTTTAATTTATTCCAACGACAGTTGCGTGGATTCAACACCTTCATTGGTGGGCACCGCCGCATGCTGAAACTAAAACTAAACTTTTTATTTTTATTTTACCAAGTAAGACCCATTGAGCTATGTAGCTATTTTTCAGAAGCGGCCCTGGCCACAAATGATAGCTCAACAAAGTGTGGCATACGTGGTGGAAATGTATACCAGTGGCCAAATAATCTGAACGCACATTTCTCAATGTGGAGGAAAAAACCGGAGGAAAATCCACACGACCACGGGGAGAGAGAGAACAAGCAAACTCCAAATATACAGCAGGCGTCAGGATCGGGATCGAACCCAGGGCCTCTTGTATACCGGGCGAGGTCGCTAAACATCTCGCGGCTGTGCGCGTCACATCACAGCGAGCGCCATCGCTCAACGAATTGTGTCACGGGGGACGTTGTGCAGGTCGCACGGTTGCTCTGCCAGGGAGCTGAATTTGCTCGCGCGTGCGTCAGCGGTCATCGACGTTCCGCACGGGCAAAACAAACGCCGGGAGTGCCGTAAACAACGCTGCGGTGAAATATGGGGGTGTGCGACGGGGGGCGCCTGCTGCTCCCCAACCGAGGACGAGTTTGTGCAACGCGAAGTTTGCTTTCTCTGCTTCGGATGGGGTCCCGTCGTTTCGACGGAGCGCTCTTGACAATAACGTCTGATAAGCGGGTCGGCATTTGTTCACCGAGCCTGACGCTGCTGATGACACCAAGGAGGTTTTTGAAACCTCCTTGGACCCGTCCAGTTTGCTTGCTGTTAAATAAAAAAAACAAATGCTGCTGCTGCTGGATAATATTGGTCTGGAAATTCAGTAGGACAAAGTTCCGCTCAAATATGCATTCAGACCGCAGGACTGGGAGTCACAGGATTTGGCCTCTGGTCTCTACTCCGTGTCCCCCGTGCCAGCCGCCTCTTCATTTCTCAAGTTCTCAGCAGCTGTCTGCTGCGCTCCTCTTGGGGATAATCTGAATCCACGTGTCCACACGTGGGTCATTTATCAGCGCCAAATGTTACTCCGCAGCCCTGTTGCTCTCCCACTCATTCACTCCTGCTTCAAGAATGTCTCGTCGAGCCTCCCTTGCCTGTCTGCCTCTAATTAGGCTTAGCACCACCGCTGATACTTTTGCTATTCAGTGGGGAGTGGTGGATACCAGGAGTAGGGTGGGGGGCGATAGGGCAATCGACTGCCGCCCTTGAAACTCCATAAATTAGTATTTCTTGATATTTTCCAAAAACAATACATTTCATGTTTTATGTTTCTTATTAATGTAGGGCCCTACTTAAAAAGCTTGAAATATTGTTACCCCCTCCCCCCACCGCTCCCACCGATTCCTTGGGAAGTTTCTAGATCCTTGTCAGCGGGGAAGTTCATTGCAAACGAAGCTGAGTTGCATGTACGTATGTTGAACTTATTTCGCACCGTACGTAGCCAACCGGGATTCGTCTTTGTTTTGGGTTTGAGAAGAGAACTCCTCTGAACTAGACGCGGCTCGTTCGCTTGGCCACACCACTCCTTGACTGCTTCCAAAATGTAGTCGGGTTGGGTCAGATTTGTGGGATCGTCTCTCTTGGTGGACAGATGTCCGTGAATAATAATAACAATGATAAAATGGCAAGGCAAAGGTGGTAAAGAAGCAGCCCTGAAATTGCTTACTCGCTCTACTTCTGGCAGAAGGGCCTTCACTAGACGCTGCTCTAGAGATTCCCTCTAGAGGGTATTTGGCTTACTCTTCCACACTGGCAATATGCCTTGCGAGAGATGGGAGTAGCCACAATCTCAATGATCTCTCTCACCTTGCTGTAGCTAAAGTGTGGGGAGTGGTGGTGCAGCGAGTTACACACCGCGCTATAACCGTGGCAACTTTGAATTTGATTCCCGGCACGTGGCCAACTTCGGTGGCGAGTGATATCTGAGCTGTTCCCCACTCCCATCCCGATGTCACCAAGCTGCGCTGACCAGCACGGTGAAGTATAGCCACAAACAGCCCCTGACGATTGACGCGCCAATGGATTAATTGACTGGACATCCGTAAACAAAAGAGCTTCATGGCTCATCGGATTTATCCAGGATAAATAAAGATTCTGATTCTGACCACCAGCTATACGTACACATCGCGTATACATAGAGTAAATAAAATGAGTTAATTAAGCTGAAAGCTCTGTGCAGTGAGATGGGGGGGGGCTTATATCATCCAAGATCCAGGGGGCATGCGAGGTTTCGGTTCTTGTGCGTAGGAACACACTGACGGCATCGCGGCGGGCCCCAAAGCACGATGACTCTTAACCGCCACCATCTCGATCGTGCACCCCCCCCCCCATCCTTAACCACTCCCATCGCGCCCACCAGCCGCCTCGCTCACACGGTCCTTTTAAAAGGGCCCTCATGCCCACGCCAAAGGTTGGGGGGCGGGGGGGGGGTCTTTGCCAAATTACGAGCGGCTGGCAGAATCCCACAAATTGGCACGTTTTGAAAGTTTGCTTATTTTTTTGGCATCGACTTTGCAGCGCTAATTACCTGGAGGGCTTATTTCTCCACGCTCCGTGACTGCGAATTCCTCAATGAGTCTCAAGTTCGTTGCCGTAGGTACGTGTGTGTATGTATGGTGGACTTCTTTCGCACCGTACTTAGCGAACCATCATAATTGGAGATGCGGGGAGAACAATAAACTAAACGCAAAAGTTAAAAAAATGAGTTTTCAATCTAGGTTTGAAAGTGAATAGCTGCAGTGGCTTATCGGAAGGAAGAGCGTTCCAGACGGTTGAAGAAGCACATCTGAAAGCGCGCGATGATTAGCCAAAAGCTGCTGTGAGGATGACCGGAGTTCGCATGATGGTTTATGTCCCTTAGTGTCTGCACCCTTCAATGGCCGAAGAATGGTTTTGCTCTCGCTTTCGTAACTGTTATAATTTTACCAAATTTTTATCCCAATTGTGCCATTGCCGCACGTGACGTTCTCAGCATCCTCACAGTGGCTTCTGGCTAACCATAGAACAAAGACGGGCACCGCATCGCGCGCTTTTAGATGTACTTCTGCAGCCATCTGGAACGCTCTTGCTTCCGATATTAGGACGCCACTGGAGCTATGCACTTTTAAAATCTAGATTGAAAACTCATTTCTTTAGAAAAGATTTTTGCTTTTGGTTTGTTGTCCTTCCCCCGCACCTCCAATTAGCACGGTTGGATACATACGGTGTGAAAGAAGTTAAACATACGCAGCACATTCCTGCGGAGGGAGCTGGTAGGGACGTTGGGTTGCTCGGTCAATGGCCAGGGTCAACGGCGGCACCACGTGGTGTATTCCGCAAATATGCCCGACTGT